ATACCAATACCTAGTAACATATCTAAATAAATGATCAGGAAACATTTATATTCAAACGTATTACAATGTTGCTTCCAATTTTCCCCGATGAGACTATACCATTTTATTAATGTGTGCGCAAATGCACTGAATCCGTAGACAAGGAACAAGTTTTCACAGGGAAGGAGTCCCAATGCGTCTAGTAGGATACCAAAGCCGCATGCGCTGTTGACAACTCACTAAGAAACTTTTGAATCCACTACACATGTCGTAAGAGTGAGGAGCTGTTGAGGTCGTTTCATTCACGCGTAAGCGAATCATAAAATATACAAGGGTCGCTTTTTACCACCAACGCTTCTAGTGCTTCTGTAGTGGTATCTTTGCAGGTTCATAATTCTTTGATGGGTGAAGAACTCATTAAAATCTAACATTGACAAAATTTCCCAAGCTCGCAAAGCGTTTGCGCGTCTAGAGCAACACACTGACAACGATTCACACTCATCACAGAAAGGATACTTAACAAAGGACCTGCGAAGCAGGCTGATACAGCCATTTGACCAAATCCCTGCTTTGCCATGGCCGTATTTGATATTAAATCTGCGAGGATGAAATGAGAATAATGTAACAAAATAAAACGCAAGGGTTACTACTTAGTATTTAATCAACATGTATTATTGGTAGAACTTTCGATATCTAGAAAAAAGATCATGTCACTTTATTTCTGTATTTCTTATTTGTTTGTTTGTTCTAATTTTTTTTGAAGAGGACGTTCTCTTTTAATTCTGTGGTAATTAGTAATTCATACATGTGAAAGACACAAGGACATTGCTGATAGACTGAACTTCGAGTTTATATAAAACTGTATGTATGTATGCAGGTAAAATGATTTCCTAAACTGATTTCAGCAAACAGGAACTGATAAGAACAAGGGAAGAGTCCAAACTTACCACCTAAACTGTTTCCCCATGCAAGAAAAGTAAGGCCAAGAATTGCATCACTTAAACCAAGCACGATACCGAACATCTACAGATCAAAGAATGGAAACAAAATCAAAGTCGCAAGTCTAAAGAAAATGCCCCATAAGATTTACATCGGGGTGTCAAATAGGGCGCCCAAAATTCGCAAAGCATAACTGACAACAAGAGGTCTTCTATACCTTGAGAAGGTTGACAATCTCATTTGCTGTGATGTAAATCCAAACCACGGAAACCACAAACGCCAGATAGGCAAACAACTGATGAGAAATTCAATAACGTAATAAGACTAGTAAGTGATCAATTTTAAATCTCATATTGCTGTATCTATACCTGAGAAGACTGAAACTGATTTATTAACGTTTTGCCAGAATCTACAGATCAGGAGTGATGATTAGGATGCGACTGTTTCGCACCACGGGTTTGGGTACTACTACTGATTTTAAAGATTCACCAGGGAAAAAAAAGTCCTCGGGGTCTACCAATTTTTATAACTAGTTTATTCAGCGAGTTTTCCCTTGCACACGCGCTTGCTAGTCAACTGAAAGCAGAAAATACACGTGAGGATCGCCTATATCGGTTATAACAAAAACAGAAGCGACAAAAAAGCTTTTTAGAATACGTACAGTATTACTCTCGGAGGTAAGCCATTGTTTTCGCTGTTTTTTTGCTTTTATCAAATAACTGCATGCGTAACAAAGTATGGGTCATAAAGAAATCTTGCCAAACTTTTGATCTTTATCAATAAAAAGTCCTGAACTTTACAACTTTAAAAATGTGATTTGTCTTAACTTGCAGATGTCTCTAAAAATACCTTCCCGAGCAACATTTAAAAGTTCTTACCGAATGGCCCCGAGGCCTCTTTTCACTCTTTGTTGTCATAGCAACAATCAAAGCTAGAACCAGTCCAGCGCAGAGAGCCAGGGCCCAGGCAGGAAGTTTTCCACTAATCATATGACTATAATCTTAAAAAAAAATCTCATCAGTGCATGTTTATTAACAAAATAAACCTCCAGTTTTCGTTACGCGAAAGATCTTTAAATATTAAAATTTCACCGTGTTAAAAAAATGTTTCCCCGTAAGCCCTGTTCATCCTGTAAAATAGCTTCTGTTTAAAAGAGAGAGTTTAACATGACGGAATTGTTTTGCTCGCTAGTTTTTCTTTGTTTTGTTTTGCCCTGTTTTTGTCTCTTTTTTTTTTTAAAGGTTTAGTCTTTTTCTTAGCTAGGGGTCTGTATCTTGTGGAAGAAACCTGTTCAGTGGGGACAATACATCTCTTAATAGTTTCCTCAATTCACAAGTCGGGAGGGGTGGCAGAGAGCCACATGATGAAAAATTCCCCCAGGATGTTATAGCTGCTCATTAACGGGAAGTTATGCAGTAAGAAACATCGAGTTCATAAGTGATCTTGTCGTGAGACAACATCGTGAGATAAGAAATCCTTACTATTTGTAGCCACGACACCAAACACAGGCATTGTTAAGCAATGTAAAACATTCAGCCATTTATTCCAATTATGCTCCTCTTCATCATAATCCACCACTGGTATGGTAAGATTCAAAAAAAATACTGCTGGCACCTGCAATCATCGAGAAAATATCTTACTGAATAAATAAGTGCTTGCCCAGGGAATTCATATGATAATATGTTACAGGGAGGGTTGTCCATTTCTTGCTTTTTATATGCTCATTTGAGACCATACCAAAAATTGAGTCAAATTTTAATCTCAGTTACAGCATTACAGATAAAAATTTCTTACCTTACAAACCATAAAGCATTTCTTGAAAAAGTTACTCCTGTTCCATTCTTCACGGTCAATTGGTTCCAGGCCAAAGAGAAATTTTCTCCAAGCACTAATTTTCCGTTTACCTCCCAAAAGAGGAAAATCTTCCTCTGATGGAGAAAATTATTAACATTAGTGGACCAAATGAATTCAATCTCTTTACATCATGCTGTTTATTATCTTGAGCATCTGGTAAGTTAGGGAAGTGTAGTTGACCAGTGTATG